ACAAACATCAGGTAGTGAGTATACCTGAAAGACAGAGCGGATGACTGAACTTCTTCATGCCTCACATTGAAGGCAGACTTCTATTAAAGCTCTTAATTTTAGATATAAATTTTTCACAGCTGTTTTGCATTTAGAATTCCTGTTTTCTTCAATACTAATGGGTAGAATTTTCTTTTTAAATTCTTCTCAAAAGCCTAGCTTGAATGATTAGACCAAGACTATGCAGTAAGTCATTTCCAGATCAGGAAATAGTGTCTAGTTAGGTCACTCCAGACTTAAATTCTAAAAATTATGTTTTTAGAGCAGATTATGAAGAGAATTAATTTTGTATCACATTTAGTAGGAAAAAATCTAGGGAAAAGCACTGCATAGACAAGTAACTGTTACCACACTATAATCATTTACAGGCTGACAATACCCCATACAAAATCTGGTAGTCACCTTGGAGTCCTTTGAAACATAATTTAAATGTTTATATACCATGCTCTTGAAAAGGTAAGAGTATAAACAATGTTGACATGTGCATCATCTATTTGGAACGAATTTTTTCCATCCAGACATTGAAAGCTGGCCAAATCTACGAGCAGCTGAGAGCATGAGCACGTAATAAGAATCGTCAAGCAATGTTAACAATGTACAGTAGTAGCATTTCTGTCAGTGAAGTGTAACAGCACCACCGTAGGAAGATTAGTGCTCTTTCCCCTTGGTCCTCCAGTACTGCAGTAACTTGGAATTGTTGCTTCCTTTTGCAAAAGTCACCACTCTTTTCCAAATGGAAAAGACATAGCAAATTACTTTCTGGGGATTGGATCATGGAAAGAAGTACTAGGGGATGAAAAGGAGTAACCAGATGAAATAAGGATAATAAGTAACTAGGGGACAGGGTGGAGAAGTCCTTTAAATTCCATGCGAGATGTAGAGAAAAGAATGAGCTGTGGGAAGGTCCCTGTTTGCTGGAAGAGTGCTGTGTCTGTGTTGGTGTGACTCTCGCTTCATAAACAGCAAATGCTCTCGTCAGTCCCAAAGAAAAACAACATTCTGTTGTAGAGAAATTGGGTAACTGATCTAGTCCTAGGAGTGTTTCTATTGGTGGAAGCTCTACCTCAGTATACCATAGGAGTGTAGTTTCTGTTATAGGGTGTGTATGGTTCCCTCGCCCCCAGAATAATGCTCGTTTTTTACTTAGAGAGCTTGGCAACTTCAGAGCTTTTACCACCTTCTGTTGAATACAGCTATTACCTTGGCAGTTTTAAATGACAAAGTTATTGTGTGAACTGTTGTCAGTGGGGAGCCCAGTGTAATCATGAGTGGCATTTACATGTTTTGGTAAAATACTTCTTTCAGTCAAGTTCTTATTCTTGCTCGAATCATTTCGCATAAGCAGAGGTGCCTATCAGCTTATTCTGTAGTACTTTCTTTATATCATAGAAGGAAACTTTTGATTAGTTCTAGGTACGAGTGGAAGAAGTGATACACAATAATACTCTTTGATGAATCTTGATCGCATTTATCTTTCCTTGACTGTTAGTCAAGATAGTGCCTTTATAACTATGCAAGTTGTACGCAAGTTTCCTGCCTTTTTTCAGACTTTATTTTGGAGAACTTTCCTATCAAATATATTTATATTAAGATCAAGACTTATAATTTTGCTTCTGCATACTTGAATACTGGAAAGACGCATTAAAATGACATGACTGTATTTGCTTTTTATCAAAATACAGAATGTTCATTTTGTCTTTTGAGACTGAATATTTTCAGAAGAAAACATAAAAAAAAATAAAATCAGCTAAACCATGGGCTTAATCCAAAACATAAATGCCTACCTGCTAGTCCAACAGACGTAATGAAAGATAAGACTTGATGTAAATCTTCCCTGTAGTTCATAAATATTTACTGTCGTCACTTCAGAAACACTAATAGTGTGGTTTTATTTGTTATTGTATAAATTGCAGTGATGTGGAAGCTGAGCTGTTTAGCAGATTGATTGGTAGTGCTAAAATTATGCATATATGCCCACTCACATACATCATCAATTTGAAAATCTAATAATGCATCACAGATGCTATGTTATTCTCTTGTAGTAAATTAATTTCCTAAATTAGCAACATTTATTTAAAAGTGTGGATAGGTTTCAGTGATGACTTAGAGATTCTTTTTGGAGCTATCATGTTATGATACTCTGCTTGCACTTTGCTTACCCCAGAGCTGACCACTTCTTCTAAATACAAGCTTCTGGGCAAACAATGTGATACTTGATACTGGTGTTGGGATGCAGTGCGCATGTTTGTGGGGAATGGGGGAGTGAGGTGACTTTTTAGAACAGCTTCTGAAATGAAACACCTTTTATAATTTAATTTCTGTTTCCATTACTTTCAGTCCTACTCTAGTAGCCCTCTAGCTTTGAATTCATACATTTTCTTGATCTAACTAGGTATTTAGATGCCTCTCACCACAGTAACTACGTATCTCTAAAAGTCTAAATTGTGAGCTGCAAAATCACTGCAAGTCTTGCTCGAATGAGGTTTTGAGTTATCTCATTTTAAAATAAGTAGTAGAGAGGACTGTAATAGTCTCTTCCTTTACCTTGAATTTCTACAGAATGAGAGAAAATCCAGTGCTTGTATATACTTGTCTTTATTCTCATTTTATATTTCAGTTAGCGGCTTTATGAAACACAAATAACTTGTTATATTAAAAAACCAGCTCTGATAGGTGCAGTTTATCTTGAAATACGCTTGTTAAAATAGGCTCTCTCAGTCTATAAACAAAGTACAACTATGTGTATTCTTGCTGCATTTTTTCATCTTACAGATTATTTTCAACTGCATTGTCACAAATCTTTTTATCTAACACTATTATAGAGAATCCTGTGAATCTCATTAAAAGTTTTTATGTTATTCAGCTTTAAGTGATACACACTGCTGAAAGTCCACAGTTTTATAGGATTGTCCTTTGAATGATTTATTGATCCTTTTGTGTGCGCTGGAGCAGTTTTGTTTCTGAAACCTAATGAATCTGAGGCTGGACTTCCTTTGTGTAGCTTATTAATTGTGAATCTTTACATTTCTTTTGCCTTGTTTCTGTGGTTTTGTCAGTTGTGGACTTCCGTATGAGAAATGTTTTGTATAAGCTTAACAATTTTTATTAAATTAATATAACTGACAAATGAATAATTTCCTCTTTATGGAATGCTGTCATATGTACTTATGTTACCTGAAAAGAGACCAAACATGTGAGTATACTCAGGAACACAGAGGCAGCTGGGTCTGGTAGATGCAAGGTCCCCAGATGCAAACCTAGGAGCAAGTATGAGTGCACACACAGTATTAGTGCCGTTGTAGTGAACCCTATCTGTCATGCATTGAGCCTGCTGTATACTTACTCTGCAGCTGACTTGTGTGTTAACGTGTGCGCAGCAGGCTGCCAGATGTTTCAGAAGGGGCCAATAAGTGGCTAAAATCCTCTCTTTTTACGTGGACAACATTCATTTATAAACATTGACAATATCTGCAGCCAAATCTCTGTAGGTAAACTTTGATCTCCTCTGTTTCTATTTATGCTTGTGTTCCTCCTGCTTTGGAAATGGCTTTTAATTCTGAGGTGTTTTATATTTGCGTGGTCTCCAGCATTGCATTTGGCTCAGAGGCTCTTCCGGCCAAGCTGTGGGTTTGACAGAGAAAGTGGAATGTGTGTTGACATCACTGTGGGTTACTTACTGCAGTAAACAATGGCTAATGGAGCAGGAGAGAGCAAATTATACACCTCGCTGGTTGACTGGAGTGGGTGTGGAATTTGCATTTCGATCCCAGAAAATAATTGCTGCCATGTGGTTATAGTCAGTTCCCTGTTAAGTGGGGTGAAGTTGGAAGAGGGGTTGAGAAATTTTATGTATTGAAGAAGAATGAATGATTAGTTGCAGAGACCTTCGCTCTTAGACCTCCTGAATCACACCTGGCCTAATACCTAGGTGGATCTATGTATAGGCAGCTCCCTCACAGGTCCCTCTACCTGTGAAACTGCTGACTTACTAACTGGTACGCTTCAGGCACCTATGGAGATTCTTACTGAGCGTTTAGTAAGACTATTTTCACACGTGTTTTGCATCTAAGTTAAAAGAATACTGTTTGTTACCTGTGAGTTAATGTACAAGCTATGTAAGATAGGGTTGTAAATGACCAGCCTTGTAAAATGGAATTTAAAGTAAATGATTGGGGGTTCCCCCTCCCCACTAGATATTTTGTCTCCTCTTGTACTTACTCCTACATTAAGAATTCTGACTATAGCAAAAGCTTGCATGAAATTCTGTGTTCTACAGAACACGCTGCAGACTAAGTCCTTTGGCATAAAAAAATGCCATCAAAGAATATGACACTTCTTGTGTAAATAGTATTTTGTTGTGATGACAGAGATTTGTTGCAGTGAAATTATATTGGAGATTTCTTTTTAAAAAAAAAAAGAGGGAGAATTGTTTGGGTGTGTGATAAGGGAGAGGGGATACTTGTTCTGTTAGAATGGTGAAGGAATAAGCTAGAGTGAGTGGAGTGGAATTCACCTTCTGCATTCTCCTTGTGAAGATGTGGTAGCAGTACCTGATTTGAAAATGATTTCAACTATAACTTCCACAGGAGAGCTCTGTGCTGGCATGTGAGGAAAAAATCATAGGTGAAGAACGCAAAAAGAGAGAGAACTATGGAGACCTCACTACAGTCAGCCTATTGTATTCAATGGTAGAAACTACTAAGGAAGTTATATGATGTTGTCTTGTATGTGAGGGCTTAAGATCATAACTTATTGTAAGTATCATGAAAGCTATTACCCAGGGGAATATGTTAAGGATATAACTTCAACTTTGATCCACATTTCATGACTGATACTTTAAATCATATCCTCCAAGGCTAGTAATGGTCTGGGCTGTGTTAAAAACTCAGTTCTTGCGCTTGTTGTATGTCTGTTTTATTTAAGAGTTTCTAAACAATTTTTTTTCTTGTTTTAATTTGCAGCACTACTTTACTGTACTTTTTGGCCATGAAGGGCAGAAACCACTGGAGCTCCGTTGCGAGGATGAAGTTGATGGAGATGAATGGGTAGAAGCTATTCACCAAGCTAGGTATGAAATCTGCTCATATATGCTCAACTTCATTTTATTGTTGACAAATTGATAATAATTGGAAAATCTAAATCCACTCTCTAAGAAGAAACATGTTACAGTGCATTAGATAGGTATTATTTGTGATCCATAGATGTGCTAGAGAAAAATTGCCTTTATCAGTTCATGCTTGTAACACTGTATTTTATCATTCACAAATAATTCTGTTCTAGTTGAAATTTCTTCAGGAAAAGTATACTTTTATTGGAAGCCGAACTGCTAGGATTGGTTCTCTTTTAAAGGAAATTTGTTATATGTATGAAGAAATAAGTTATCTGCCACAAAAATGAGTAAATGAATGTTTCTTAAAAAGACTTCATGTAGAAATAAGTATAAGAAGAAGGTCAAGCCATAATTATGATAGAATGCCCCAAGTAAAATTCTATCCCCAAAAAGGAAATTCAGAACAATATTCAATATGAAAAGGGTAAGCCTTGTAAATAGGGACATGATAGGGCTTCAACAATGCAATACTTCCCTGAGAAAAGGTCGAAGTGGTGAATAGGTGAGGCTTACAGTATAACGTCAACGGAAATAAGGTAACTCAAGCTTTGGGAAGTGGGTAGCAGAGGCAAATGTCTTTGCGCAGTTCTTCCAGCCGCCTCTTGTGTTCTCTAACCTCAGCTAATCTATACTACCATGGTAACACACAAGGAAAGAGACAGTTTCTGAGTTGCTTAGGACCCAAGCCATGTAAACAGAAGTGCTTTTACTTTAGAACTAAAAGCAAGCAATACCAGCTAGTAGTTTTTAATTTAGACCTTCTGAAATTACGCCTTGAAGCTCTAAGCCTTCTCTGCTCTAGGCATCCAGTGTTTGTATCCTTACCCTCTTTTGAGTATATGTGCCGAACTGAGCAGGTCTCATCCTTTCTTGGGAAATAAATACCTATTGGGTATTAGATCAGCCATATTTTGCATGGTTGCTCTCTTAAGTTAACACAGCTTCTCAGTTCCTGAAACAATATGAGGCTTTGAACTCTGAGTGCTTCCCAGGAGTGAATGTTCACAAGCAGGCAGTCCAGTATCGTTGAGGGGATGAGAAAGAACTCTTCACCCTCTTACTGAATCTGGGCTGATTTCTCTCATTAAGTAAAACAGAAAGCAAATGAAAAAAGGAATCTAACTTTTCTGCCTTGTGGTAAGGGCATTGAGGGGAAGCAAGATCCCACAGTCTGATCCCTGTTCTCAGGATAAAGTATTTCTTATCCATTGCCTAGTGCAAAATGTATGTAAGGAAGACAAGCTTCACAGCACTTGGGAGGAATTTCTTTCCAGGAAGTTCAGTCCATAAAGGTAGTCACCAGTAGCATGTATTAATTTCCAAGCCAGAACTTAACAAAAAATGCTTAAGCCAATATTAAACGACATGCAGTTGAAAATCTTGACAACTTAAGACTACTTTTTCCTTAGCAAGTTTGAGGTTCATGGTTGGGGGTGGACGAATTTGGCCTCCCTTAGAATATTACCACTGCAGCTTGCAGAAGACAACTGAGTCTCTGTTCTTCTAAGCTGATGTTGTCAGCACCTCTCTTGGGCTATTACCGCAAGGTATCAGTCTGCTTATCTTCCCTCCTTTTGCTGTTTGGCTTTTCCCTTTTATTTGTGTGCCCATCTGAACTGACAGTAATTGGCTGAACTACAGATGTCATTGTGAGGGATATTGTAAGGACTCAGAGTTGTTTGATGTTGGGCTTTTTTTAATGTACTTTTCTACATAGGTCTCTAAATTCCTTAGTCTCCAGGGACTCAGGCGTTGCTTTTCTTGTTTTAATATTATTTTCTTGAATAAAATAATATTATTTTATTGAATAAAATATCGATAAGTGACAGACAACCATTCTGTGGTCTAGTTGCTCTGAATATGGTGTTGCATACTACTGTGGTTGCCTCATTATTCTGATGCTTTTCTATGTTAGTGTAAACTGCTTTTATTTGCTTTATATTACCTCTAGCAAAAACAACTTGGAGATTGGGCTAAGGCCCAGTTGGAATTAAATCTGGCAAGGGATGTCAAGGACAACAAGAAGGGCTTCTTCAAATATATCAATAGCAAAAGGAAGACTAGGGAAAATGTGGACGTGCTGCTGAACGGGGCAGGTGCCCTGGTGACGAAGGATACAGAGAAGGCAGAGTTGCTGAATGCCTTCTTTGCTTCAGTTTTTACTGCTAAAGCCAGTCCTCAGGAATTCCAGACCCTGGGGACAAGAGAGAGAGTCTGGAGAAAGGAAGACTCTCCCTTGGTCGAGGAGGATTGAGTTAGAGATCTTTTGTCCAAACTGGACATACACAAATCCTTGGGCCCTGACGGGATGCACCCACGAGTGCTGAGGGAGCTGGCGGGTGTTATTGCTAGGCCACTCTCCATCATCTCTGAAAGGTCTTGGAGATCAGGAGAGGTGCCTGAGGACTGGAAGAAAGCCAATGTCACCCCAGTGTTCCAAAAGGGCAAGGAGGAGGGGCCAAGAAACTCCAGGCCTGTCAGCCTCCCCTCCATCCCTGGAAAGGTGATGGAACAGCTCCTCCTGGAGG